GGAAACAGATTTAGATGCAGTTGAGACCTATCATGAATGAAGTTCTACACGCCTTTTTTTTTTTTTTTTTTTTGGTTTGGTTTGGTTTGGTTTTGGTGCAACTCTGATTTCCACCACCTTTTAAAAGCTCATTAGTATGGAGGGGATCAGCCTGATCACAGGACTTTTCCACATCTCTCCCTCGTGTAGGAGTACTCTTCCTTGGTTATAGGGAGTTCTTCCAAAGAAAAATAGTGACCAGCAAACTGCTGAGCACTTAGCTCAACCAACAACTTCAGGATTGTGATGAGAAAGTAGTATAACATTTGTACATGGGTCAGATGACATAAACAGCTGAAGTGAATTACTGTTTTTTAATTTAAGGTAATGGCATTCTATCAATTTTTTATTGCTGCATGATGTATGAGATTGATGTATTACAGGAATTCTCTAACTGTTCATGTAACCATCCTTAGCAATGACAGTGCTATACCATGAACTGCACAAGCCTCACGCTTCTCTCATGCAGTATTAACAAATCCAGGTTCCTTTCTGTGCTTTCTACATTCATAAAAGGACTATAAAATGCTCCTTTTAGTCCTAACATTTTGGAATCTATAAGTGGACTCCAGTCTGCAATTCATACTGCTAAGTCCAGCCAGGTAAGGCTTTCTCCTTCACATCAGCATTACTGCCAAACTGCATGAACTTTAGAACAAATGAAAGATATTCAGGGTTGTTTGTTGTCTGTTTGTAGGCACATGTTTACAGCAGCCAGGAAAAGATTCCCTCCATTGCCTCTCCACACAGATCTGGCGCAGTGCTGGCTTGTGACTATGTACTTTACTACGTCACAGTAATTTTTTTATCACACACTGGTAACTTTTAGTCCAGAACAAAGAACTTAAACTAAAGAGTAATTAAACAGAATTTGGATGGTCCATAAAAAATAATTAATTTACTGCAGCAGCTTATGTTACTGCCTGCTCAGCTCTGTTTTTAGGTGTTGAGGTCTTCCTAGGCATATGGATTAAGTTACAGGATCCTGAATGGAAGAAATTTTATGGAACTGTGTGTGAGATACCACATTGAGAAAAATCATTCTAAATGAGCTTGATTGGCTCAAATCCCATGTCAGTGGAAAAAAGACCAATATTTAGCAAATGATATCGAACAAATATTTAGAAATTGAGTTTAAAACCCAGGGTGGAAGGAAGAATCCTGTTTATTTCTTCCACATGTGAAATGAACAAAGATCTTAAGAAGCCGGAAGAGCTTTTAAGATGTGAAGGAAAAGTGGGACTATAATACTTAAAATCCAGACTTTATGCCTGTGGGTTTCTAGTGCAAGAATTTAATTTATTAGTATCTAGTAATTAAATAGTTCAGCATGGTAAGGGGGAATAAGTTCATTAGAGAAATACAGCATAAATAAAATGGTGTAGGCTACTGGAAACAGGTGTTGAAATACTGCCAAATGGTGAACATTAAAATGAAAGCTGAAATATTACAGAGACTGAAATATCATGTCACCTTTATAATAAAGTACTTTTTAAAAAGATAAAAAGTTTTAGAAAGTTAAGAAGTGTGGTACCTGGCAATTTCTGTTACTGGTCTGTGTGTGCAGGAATTGTCAAAGGATTCCATGAGGGCAATAATGCTGTCTAGGACTAAACACTGGAAGTACTTTTTCCTTCACTTAGAACAGCATCCGTATATATACACAGCAAGTTCTATATAAAGTCATCACTTTTTGGGATGTTCACATGGTGGTTTTGGCTGGGACAGAGTAAATTTTCTTCACAGTAGCTAGTAGGAGGCTGTGTTTCACGTTTCGGCTAGAAACACCGTGTGTGATAACATGTGTATTTAATATGTGTGTAGTTAACGCTGAGCAGTGCTTAAGAGTCAAAGCCTTTCCTGTCTGTTGCTTGCGGCTGCTTGGTTTCCTCTCACCATTAGTAGGCTGGGTCCGCAAGGAGCTGGGATGTGACATAGCTGGGACGATGACCCCAACTGACCACAGGGATTTTTATCGTGTGGTGTCATGTTCAGCAATTAAATCTGGGGGAAGAAGTAAGAAGGGGGGATGTTTGGAGTTATTGTTTGTCTTCCCCAGTCACCATTACGTTGGATGAGGCTCCGCTCTCCTGGAGATGGCTGAACACCTGCCTGCACATGGAAAACAGTGAATTAATTCCTTGTTTTGCTTTGCTTTGCTTAGGTGTGGCTTTTGCTTTCCCTATTAAACTGCCTTTATCTCAACCTACAATTTTTCTGCCTTTTAATCTTCCAGTTCTCTCCGTGATCTTACTGGTGAGGTAGGGAGTGAGTGTCTGCATGGAGCTTGGTGGCTGGCTGGGATTAAACCATGAGAACTCCATAAAGCTTAAGCACAGCATGACTTTGCTATTTTATTTTATATCTCTATTATTTTATGTATTTGATATATGGCATGGTATGTGTCGGTTGCTGTTGGAGATTAAGATGACATGTAGCAATCATCCACTTTCTTCACCATTGCAGCTCGACTGTAATTCCAACAACCCCACACTGATGCACCTTTCTGTAAATTCTGGCATGTACAAAGCATCTTCCTCTTTTGCCTTACGTTCATCACCTAAATCTTAGAATTACAGGTTACTAAGTAATTTATAACTGGAAAAATATCCTACAGCTTTTACATAAAAAAAAAAATGCACTTATTGTTAGGTTTATGAGAGTATATTTAGAAAAGATTGGGAAAACCAAACCAGTACTTGTGAATACGTGCCCATTTCTGATTAAAGTTGATTGAAAATTTCAGGACAATTGTACAAGATGAACTTAGCATCACTGTAATGCAAAACTTGTTTTTGTCTCTGCTTGCTTGCGAGAGTGGAATGCTTGTGTCCACAAGGATTCTGTAAAACTAACAGGAATTAAGTATATGCTCACTCCTCTTTCATTAAGGCATCTTTTACAGCACAGACTGCCTATGGAGGATTTTTGGCAAAAGGAATTCAATGTCTACTGAGACAAGGAAATGAAGCTTCAGCAAATGACTTCTGAACGTTTCTTAAAGCTATATTGCTGCTAATTCTTTTTTCTATGAGGACTTCTAGAATGTTTTAGAATGTGCCAACTTTACCTAAAAAATTATTTGAACAAGCAATACTCCAAGCAATACGTCAGAACCTCCAACACTTATCCTTTGCATCCTCTCTCCTCCATATTTATGTCAGAAAAACAAGCTGTTAATAAACTTTTAAAGTTGTTTTATGTATTCAAATATAAAAAAGGTAATACTTAAAGGGATAATGATCCCTTTAAGGGGTCATTTAGACCCTCAGTGGCCTAAATGATACTCAAATCTCAAGGTTTTTAAAATGCTACTCCCCTGACTGGACAACTAGGAAAGAGCCTAAAATCTTTTCTTTTGCACAAGTGTTGGCACAAAGTCTATTACACAGTGTGGTAAATAGGTATGATTCGTGCTGACAAAATTGAAACAGTAAACAATATTGATACAGTAATTAATATTTAGAAATAATGAAACAGTTAAGGTGTAATGCCAAGAAAGAAAGGGAGAGGAGGAGTTCCCCCCTGCCCCCTTCTCCTGCAGGTGTTCAGAACAGGAAAAAGCAAGAGATAACTATTAACTAAATTTATTTGGAAAAGAGGAGAATTTGGTTGGACAGCACGAAAATGTTAATTATATGAGATTTATTGCTTTAATGTTAGAATATAATATTGGCTTATACTGTACCAGCTTGGTGTGCACGTGTAATCCAAAAGATGAATTAAAGGACACCAGGGAAGAGGAGAGGCCTTCCTCAAAGAAGACCCACAAAGAGTGGCACGACCCCCTAAAAAAATGGTAGAGCACGAGTGGTAAAGGTGATGATGAGGGTGGCCATGCAAGTGTGACGAATCGAAAATAGGAGAAGATGGTAATGACATACAGCATAAAAGGGGGAATTTTGGCTTGGCAATTCGTACGTGAGGTGACGGGGGTCAAGCCCTGCACTCCATACCCCGTGCAGTTATTTTTGTTTATGTGCTATTATCAGAACCAAATTATTCCTTATTTTAACCAAATTATATTGTCAATATTCTGAGTGTATTCAATTTTATATGTATTAAGCTACTTAATTAAAATTGCTGTTATATTTAATTTTTTTTTATTGGATAATTGGGCAAATATAACACATAGCATTTATAAGTTTCGTTTCTTTTTTTTTTTTTTTTTTTTTTTTTTTTTTTGTTTTGTTTTGTTTTGTTTTTTGTTTTTAATAATTATGTGGCAGCTCTTGCAGACATCAAGTGAGAGTGGGGTTCTGACTTCCCCGTTTCCCGCGTGGGCACACAGGCCATGGAACGCAGGATGCCCGAGCAGGGTAACCCCACCCACGGGTGGTGACAGTGCCGAACAAGCGCTGTGACAGCTGCCAGGCGCGGGGGGCACAGGGCGGGCACCGCATTTCTGTCAACTGCCAGGCGCGATCCGCCAGGCCACTAAGGGTGCTGGCATTAGGGGACTGCTACCCAGCAGAGGATGGAAGAGAGCTGCGGCTGCAGGCGCCCCGCGGCTGCGGTCTGACACTGACTGAGCCGCCGCTGGGCACAGGGCAATCCCTGGAGGCCAGCGCTTCACATCCTAAACAGGTACCTTTGTCCCTGTAAGGAGAAGCTCGAGGCGAGGCAGGCGCGCAGCTGAGCCGGGGCAGGCGCCGCGGCCTCCTCTGAGCGCGATCTCTGAGTTGTGAGGGAAGCACCGGAGCCGAGGCCCTCGCACCTCCCACGAGTCCCCTCCGGTCGCTGCCGCCCCCTCCGCGCGGCCCCGTCCCGCCCCCGCCCCCAATTTGCCCCGCCCCGCCCCGCCCCGCCGTCATTGGCTGCCGGCTCTGCCCACCAGCAAGCCGCACCCCCTCTCCCAACCTGACGTTCGCTTCCCGCCCCCCAAGTGGCCGGCGTGCCCTGTCAATCACCCGCGCTCCGGGCGCGGGGCGCGTCCCGCCCGCCCGGGCGCCTGTGCCGCGGTGGGAAGGGGCGGGTGCTCGGGGCTGCCGCCGCTTCCCCTCCGCGTCGGGGTGCTGCCCCGGCCAGCCCCGCTTCGGAGCCCCGCGCCAGGGGCGGGGCGGGGCGGGTCGGGTCGGGAAGGGAAACAATCCCCGGAGGTGAAGGGCCGAACGCCGAGCCTGTGTCCCGCTCCCCTGGGCTCTCCGGTAGGTTGCCGTCCGCGGCCGCCTCTCGGTGCGGCGGCGGTGGCGGTTGCAGCGGTCGCAGCACCCCCGTGGGCCGAGGCCTTGGGCTGGCTCTCTCCTCCTTTCCCTGGCGGCCGCGGGACTTGCGGGGGCCGCGGAGCCTTTGCGAGCGCGGCGGCGGCCAGGACGGCCGCCCGGGCCGGGGCAGAGAGAGCCGGCGGCCGTGCGGTGCCGTGCCCCGGGCGGTGTGCGGTGCCCGCGGGGCTTGGCCGGCGCTGGAAGGGCCCGCCGCCTCCCGTGGCTGCGCTCCCGGGTGGCAAAAGCCGTCGCTGTGAGACCTCCGAGTGCCCTCTCCGCAGGAGTTGCTTGCGGCGGTGGGGTTCCCTGTGTGGCTGCTGGCCGTGGTTGCTCCGACCGAGCACCAAGCTGGGTTTGTAGGAACAAGTATATTTGTTTTCCTGGTCTGTAGAAGCAGGTTGCTGGAGTGCGATTGTGCGAATGTGGTTTAGCACATTAGCAGGTTAGAGGCAAACTGAGCTGCCAGTGCTCTTTTATTCTTTCCTTTTATTTCGCTTTTCAGGAAGTTTTTTATAGGCGCTCTCTGAATGTAGTGGTTTTAAGTTTGATTAAAATCTCTAAAAGTGGCGTTTCAGTGATTCACCGTGGAACTCGGACAGACCTTATTTTCAGGCATTCTTGTTCGTTTTACTGGTACTCCCTTAATGAGTGATGAAGTGATATGAGATTGTAAAAAAAAATTGCAATATAATCGAAGACTTTTTTTCTTGCTGAATTTTATAGTTAAGATCATTTGTAAGTGCATACATAGTTAGAAATAGATACTGTGCATGTGCTTAAGCATGATTATAAGTGAAGCTCACTGTTAAGCATATTAAGCCTTGCTGCCTGCGTTATGACTGCTTGTAAGGATAAACAACTTACCTGCTCTTTAGACTCACGCCTCTTCTTAACCCACTTATCTAGTGAATGCATTTTATCCCAAGCTGCATTGGGATGTTAAAGTCCAAGATAGGAGTAATGCAATTTTGTTTTAAAGGGAAAAGATGAGATAAGTTGATAAAAGATGAGTTAGATGTGCTAACTATATTTTAGGGGATGTGTTCTCTCGACCTTAATATCCTTTAGTCAGTTTCTTTTTAGTTGAAACATTTCAACAGTTAAACAGTGTTTTCAGTGGAAAATGTTTTCAGCAACATTTTGTTGTGCTGGCCTGAAATGAAGAAACTACCTGGCAAACGGTGGATTATTTACATTAGTTGAGAATGACTTTCAGCTAATTAAATTAATCGTTTTCTCTTTTGCCACTCTGCATCCAATAGATGCGTTGACTTATAAAATGTAAAGTATTTTCAGAATCTAAAGTACTAGTTCTGATACATCACATTTTCTGTAGAGCTTTTTTTTCTGTGTGATCAAGATAAATATATTCAAGATTAGTTAAGAGAATTAATCTGCGACAGGCCATGTCTTTACCCTTCCGAAGTTGTTCTTCCCCTTAAAAAAAAGAGTAACTGAACCTACGGAAGAGTTTTTCCCTTGTCCAGCCTATTTATGTACAATTAACAGGACTGAATTTACTTCCTTTTGTCATATTTTCATAATTAAATTAATTGCATTACTAAAGCTCATGTATTGTATTAAATCTTAGTGTCCCCACTGTATCCACAACGTTTGTCCTATGGAAATAGAGTTGTTCTTGGTTCACTAGTTACTGTGCTAAATGGTTCTGTGATTAGGAGTATTAAAGTTAAATGTATTTCTAACATTTTTACTCTTGTCTTGAAAATTTGTTTAAAAAAGACTAGGAAGTCTGCTGATGTTAAGAATAATGAGCTTAGAATAAGAGAATATGAGCTTAAGAATAATGTAGCTTAGTTATGCCTTTGAGACAACAATAAATGGATCATGAGGAATAGGGAAGTGACAGTGGTTATTTTTCTCTGATATCTTCTAATTACAAAAAAGAAATTGCTAAAGAACAGGGTACTGATCAGCTGTATTAACTGTCTTTATCTAACTTTGTTCCAGCTGAATGTTTTTTTTCAGTCTATTGTAGACAAAACATATAGTTATGTCTTGTTCCTCAGCCTGCTCTTTGTACTTTTGAGTGATTTCTTTGGGATGTTGTACATAAAAGTAATAATGCAATTAAAACCACACACAAACCACAGGAATAACAAAGTTGTAAGGCAGTTTGACATACTGTTTCAATTCAGGCTCACTGATTCAACTGCAAATTGATGTTTAGAGTTCTCAGTCAAACCTTAATACCTCACCTGAGGTTTTATGAACAAACTACCTGGTGGTGCTTAAGGGAAGAGTGGGACAATCCTTTTCATCTGTGGTCTGGGTTTAAATTATCTAAAACTGATCGTGATACTTGGGAGTAATTTATTAATGTAAATGCATTGGTATGTTTCCAGCGTACACTGGGCCTTTAACACACTTTCAAAAATGTTTTGAAACTTCTATATAATTGATTTCCCTGATCTATTAAAAGGTAAAAAAGTAACTTTGAAGTAATTGCTGTATATTTTCTGACGATCCTTAATTTTTTTTAAGGCTATGCAGGCATTTTAATGCCTCCTCAGTGCTGCTGCAGAACCGATACAATGAGATCAAGCCTGATGCTGTTGCTTGTTTTTCTAAGTGTAATTGTGAATAGCCTGCCAGACATTGTCACTGGACTTCTAGAGGTTTGTAAGCTACAGCTGAAACAGCTGGGTGAAGAAAAATGTGTGTTTAAGCTAAATAGTTGCTTAAATAAAAGCAGTCTATTGAGAAGGTAGTTAAAAGCTAGGGTGATGATAACAGATAAAGACAGTGACTGGAACATCCCTCCCTCCCTGTGATCTTAGGTAAGCCACTTACAATTTAATGTCCCCTCTTTGGCGTAGGGAGGATGTAGAAGAGGAGACATCACATACCAATCCATGCTGTAGAATTGTTTTGGATTGTGGTTACTTAGGGAGCTTTCTGAAACTAACTTTCAGAGGAAGTTGTGAAACTCTTAGTTGTATAGTATGGCATAATTTCTTTTGGTGAGATTTAGCTTACCTGTTATATTTTCTTCTGCTGTTTTATAGATTATATGTTAGCTTAAATTTATGAAAAGGTTTCTTTCTAACAAAAGGGGTAAAGAATATTTATATATTAAATATACATATATGTAAAAATATAAATATTTGTGGTAAATATACAATATAAATATACAAAAATTTCAGAATATTACAAATGTGCTTGCCAGTGCATTCTTCTAGCCTGTTTATTGAACTGCATGTTCCTTATCTCTTACAGAGGACATTTTAAGCATCTACGCTTCCCTCTCTTCACCACCTCCTTTATCTGATGTTTTTGACTTTGTGTAGGAAACCTTTTTAAAAATCCCCATTTGGCTGTTAAAAGAAGGGTATTTAGTACAAAATAAGTATATTATTCATATCTGTAGGTATGAAAAGCTAAAACAGTTATCTTGCCATTTGTGTCTGGTATCTTGCCTTGTGCTGTGGAGTTAGTAATGGGACACATACTGATCAATCAGAAATGTCTTTGCTGAAATGTTTACTCAGATAACTGTAGGTCACAGAAGCCCGTGATGCACACAAGTAAGATTTGCATATTCAAGTAATTTTATTACTTAATTTGACTTTATGTGTAACATCATTAATGTAACTACAACTGTTTTTTCCTATGCTTTAGGATTTTCTCTATAGGTAAGCTTACTAGCCAGCTTTGCTTTTAACATACCAAGACTTTGTAGTAACATTTTACTTAACATAGTTATTAAAGGTCATTAAATTACTAAGTTAAGTAAATTTAATGTCTTTTTCCTAGAAATAAATTTTTTTTCCTCCAATTTCCCTGTGTGGTGATTTGTACTCTTCATCAACGTGTGTTTTGATGATGTTAATTTTGATTAAGACAGGATGTGGACTACAACAGTGGAGGATGATGTCCTTTTCAGTAGGCCAAAAATACAGATACTAGATTTCAATTTCAAGTACGTGGTTTGTCACAGCTTCTTGTATACTCTGCAGTTGTTCATTGAGTAATTTGTGAGTTGCCTGTGTTCAGTAAACCCTGTGCAATAACAGAATGTAGATGGGGCAGTTTCCATCAGAAGCAGAGTTGAAGGTGGTGTTGGGGTGTCCGTTTGTGTATGGAGGTCACTGGGGTGTGATGTCCTTGAACTGATGCACTTGATGGGTTGTGAAACACCAGTCATTGTGGCTCTGCTGCCGATGTTGGAAGGGCTCTTCTCTCTAATATGGGGCATTCCCCTGCTCCATTTCTGGCTTTGCAGTTTTGTAGCTCCACTCTTTCTTGCTCTCCATCCCGTCTCTTGTATCAATTCCTCTGAGTTGATTGAGCTTCTGTTGAGTAGAGTAACTGAGTTTGTGAGTTTTCTGGTACTCTGGGTAAGTGAGTAATGGCTTACTGAGATGTGGGAGTGCTGATGGTGAGTGATGGGAGCAGCAGGTATTGTGACACATGCAGTAGGAGAAGAGCCATTGTACTAACCCATCAAAATTGTCTAATTGCATTTTGTCATTTGCGTTTTGCAAATTTCAGACTTAGGTTCTATTGAACCCATAGAATTGTTCTTTTTGGTTCCGGTTGTCTTTGAGCTTGGGATGCTAGTTACCTGGTAAATGTTGAAACTGTTATATTTTAAAAACTTCATTGGCTGCATTTTCTGTTTTTGTAGAAAATACTTTAAAAGCATGGGCTGCTTGACAGGTTCTCTTCATGATGTTACAAGGTGTGATTTAGTCCAGGATAGGACACATGTCTGCAGCCTAGAAGAAAGTACTATTTAAAAGCTGTATTATTACGTGTAGAAGAATCCTGTGAGTAGCTTTCTATATTTAAGGCACCAATCATTTTCCATTTTATGTCTTTATATTTGAATGAAGTAGTTAACATGACTGTTAGCCTGTTTCAACAGCTTTTTAATATAATGGTATAAAACAATCCTTAAAGGCATTCAGTGTTGCTTT